GTTCGTTAACAGTTTTTAAGATTTTGTTATCCACACTCACTGTTCATCTACTTGAGATCCATACATGCTTTATCCTTTCTCAAACTTCGTTTTTTATGTTTATTTTTATGCCTTTTTTCATTTTTTTTTATTTAAACTATTGGGTTTTGAATTTTGAAGCCTAATGTTTGAGCATTGTATCCTTTTTAGTTGATTGACTGAAAAAATGTCATAATTTTAAATGATCATTTAGTAAGGGCCAAATGTGTAGTACTTAATGTATGATGCTGACTATTTCTTTCTTATTCTTTCAACTTTATAATTCACCCCTGTTGGTTGACTGTCAACTGTTCGACATATATCTATTAAGGATGACTATTATGACTTTGTCTCATTAGACCCCTGGTGGTGCCACACATTCACTATGTAAGGTGTCCTATCGAATTAATGCTTCACTGTCTTGCTTGGCATTTTTATCAGTGGAGATTTTAATAAATGACATCTTACCTACAAATGTGATTGACAGTAGCCGAAACTATGTATGCCCACTTGAACTGGTGAACTTTGTATTAGGTTTTCACAGTATATTTTTGTCTGCCACTTCCTATCTGTGAAATTATTGCTATTATTTGTCCCTTGGGTTCCTAATGGAACATAGGGCTTCAGCAGCACGTCTCCAGTGAACTCTGTTCTCTGAAATCTTTTGAACCTGGCTCCACGACAGCCCACAAGCTATCATTTCCTCCTCGCACGATCTTCTCCATGTCACCCTCACACGCCCAACTCGTCGCTTCCCATGGGGGTTCCACTCGAGGGCCTGACGCGTGATGTCCCCAGTTGGCCTTCTCAATGTATGTCCAATCCATCTCCACTTCCTTCCGCATATTTGTCGGGTGATAGGTTCTTGGTTGGTTCGTTTCCAGAGTTCCTTGTTGCTTATTCTTTCTGGCCATCTGATCTGATCTTCAGTATCGAGTGAGCGTAGGCGACAGCTGTTGATGAATGTCTGTAGTTTGTTGGAAACGCTTTCCGTAACGCGCCAAGTCTCCTAACCATCACATAGAAGCACTGACTTGACTGAATTAGTGTTGAGAATCCGGATCTTGTTCACGCTTTATGCTGAGTGCAGTAGATCTCCACACTGATTTCAGGCTAATGAACGCCTGTCTTGCTTTTCCGATCCTGACTTTGACGTCCTCGTCCGTGCCGCCTGTAGTTGAAACAGTGCTTCCTAGATAAGTGAAGGAGGCTACTTCCTTTAAGTTCCTCCCGTTGATGGTGATTGGAGTTTGTTGCTGTTGTTGTTGTAGGTGGTGTTGGTTGAGTATCTTCATCACCTCTGTCTTCTCTATATTCACTTGAAGTCCCGTCTTCGCTGCCTATCCTGTCAATTTGTTAGTTTTCGTCTGTAGACCCTCAAGTTTGTGTGACATTAGACATAAATCATTATCGGCGGCGAAATCCAAGTCTTCTGGGATCTTTTCCCCGGTCAAGCCAGCGTTTCCCCCTCTTCTCGCTCCATTCCATCTGCTTTCGCAAATTCCTAAAACTTCGATACGATACTTTCTCATCTCCTTTGCAATCTGGGCAGCCTTGTTAGGTTCAAACATGGTGCGGACATTCCATGTCCCCATCTTTACTTTTGCTTTCATCGAGTGAAGACACATCGGCACACTGGCTTCTCGAAGACTCTCACCAACCGGCGTCATTTCGTCCCTCCGATTCCAGCGAGGAATAATTTTGTTATTATTTTTTATATTTTGTTTGTGCTTTGAAGTTTCTGTAGCGGTTAGATTTGTTTTCCGGGATAGGGTTGCTAGTCTTATGCCCAACCTTCCCTGTTTATCGGGGCTTAGGACGGGCTTGTAACTAGTGGACTAGTTAACCAGGCGAGGTTATCTGTGAAATAGTTTTCTATATTTCTAGTCGAAGAATTCTCAGAGGATTGAATTATGAAAATTAGATTATACTATATTTGATTGTAAGAGTAAGAATACAAGAATCTAAATACTATCAATTGACTTAGCTATCTCTGCCTAAATTGGCTAGCTTTCATTACAATTATCACCTGAAAATCATATTCATTAGTTATTCATTTATTTTCATAATTTTATCGGAAAAGAGACGTCATGTGTATTGATTCATGATAATTAATAAATGCATTTTCTGTGGTATATGTGTGTGTATGCGTGCATGCGTGCGTGTGTATATGTACATTGTTATACATTTCAAAAAATTAATCTACTGAAAACCTTTAAGTGCATTTCATTTATAGCAGCATGCATGATGCTAGTTAGCTAATTAACCCTAACCTAATTTCGCAGTTAGGTTGATTTTGATTGAAATAAGAAAACTTTGTTACGTGCAGATGATGTTAAGTTTTTCATGCTAACAAGGAAGTTTTCATTTACTAACTGATAGCTTTGAAAACGGAGGAGGAAAGGGAAAAATTAAAAGTTTTTAAGTTTTGCCAACCACATAAATTAATCAGTCAGTCGCCCCAAAGATTTTCTGTGCATACCGAAAAAAATAATCAACTATTCTGAACAGTTAAATTTTTGAGGGGGTTGTGGAGATTTGGAAATATTTCAAGTTGTTATTCATCGAAGACTGACATCAGTTGGAGGAACAAAGGAAACCTGGGAGCACTGGACAGCTGTTTCGTCCTAGTATGGGACTCCTCAGCAGTGCGCACCCACGACCCCACCAGCAGGGATCGAACCCGCGACCTTCAGGTTCCGCGGCCAGCGCGTTACCATTGAGCCACTGGGTCAGAATCCAATGCTCCATATTTCCAACTTCTGTTAGCTCACGATATAGCGCGAACCGCCACCCAATGTCATCGTTGAGTATCTGTCCTCACGGCCATCAGGCTTTGACTCCACCGGTCACGACGTGTCATTGGAACTTCGGGAATACTTCTCGAATACTTCTCGCGGGTTCGATCTCTGCTGGTGGGGTCTTGGGTGCGCACTGCTGAGGAGTCCCATACTAGGACGAAACAGCTGTCCAGTGCTCCCAGGTTTCCTTTGTTCCTCCAACTGATGTCAGTCTTCGATGAATAACAACTTGAAATATTCTAAACAGGTCAAATTGTATTCTGTTTCGTCATATTGGTAGAGACTGAAAGTTTTGTAACCAAAATTCAATATATTTTTATTTGTTTTCAAATGAATACTTTCTTTCTGATGTCATTTGTATGGTTAAGAAGCAATAGAGTATATGACTTTCTCAAGGCATTCTATGACAGCAAGTTAAGGCATAAAGAAATCACCAGTTCACCTAATTCATTTGGTACCATCTATGCAGGGTTAATAAACTTTGCTAATGATCGAAGAGAAGTGTATATTTCACTTATCAAATAATTCTCATACTATGGTGTCAAATAAGTCAGGTGTGAAGACATATACTCACACATGGTATTGAATGATGACAGAAGTAGTAAAATGGAAATTATTGAATTCCAACCAAGTGGCTAAATGATAACATGCATTTTCGTTTATACTCAATATATATGTGCTCAACGATTTACCTTTCGTCTACGGCAGTCTAATTTAGTAGAATATCAATGCTGTTTGGTATCAACATCAAGGTGTCCACATAGGAGATCATATGTTACCCGTCATGCAAGTAGTGGCTATCATGAAACAGTGGCCTAGTGGATAACACTCTGGGATTTGAAGCGATTGATACTGGGTTCGAGTCTCAATGGAAACAACATCATTCACTGGGGTGAAGGTACATCCACCTAGCGAATCTTAAATATGACGAAACACGCTTCCTGGATTCCACTGCCAGCCACTATCCATGACTGAAATCAAAATCAAAAATATAAGCAACGTCCAGGCCTCTGCACTGGAGCCCATGTGCCGACAGTCGTCGATCAGTTCTCTCCAGCCAACTACAGTGATTCACAAGCTATAACATCAATTGTTTGATTAATTGAGCACAAGAAAAAAGTTTCTGATGGATTTTACCACCCTCACCACTACCTATCTTAATTATCATACTGTCAAAATGTAGAAAGAATCGGGTTATATAATTGGTAGCACGAAATTGGAAAGTTATTGTAAAACAGCGCGGAGTGGTGAATAGTTACCTACTTTCAATCGTCAGCAATAATACCGTTCAAATGAATTTTTGTAGATACCTAACTTTATAAGCATGCTGCTTACGATAAGTTTATTGAAGCCTGGAATAATTATGTTTTCTGTTAACATAAGAGTGAAATTCCGGCATCAAGTTAGATCACAATTCCTATATCTTTGGATTCATTAAATAATATCGTTTTGCTATGTTAGATATCTGATAAATCTGTTTGAATCTAAGCCATTTTTTCCACCAATTAGTTGAAAACTCTATAAAGAGTTATACAGAGTCAATGGAATCTCACTGTTTTGTAAATATCCTCCAGAATTGATTTTTAAAATTCATGTGAAAAACAACTTTGTTACAGTAGGCAGTAATTCTAATTCCATGATATCGCAAAAGAAGCATGCAACTGGAAATGTACTTGAAATTCGTAACGGCTATATGATTGAAGTGTCACTCAAACTTATAGATTCAGACAGAAACCGGTTTTGTCAAACCTTTTGGTGGAATACCGACTTTATGGTGATCCTCCGGCACATAGTTAAGTTTTTAAAATGTGAAAGTTTTAGAATAACGCAACTGTTTCTAATTTTCCTCGGTCTTAGAAGCTGATTTCATTTTAAGGACTGTGTGAATAATTCACCTTACTGAATAGCGAAATCATCGCTATTTCTTTCAATCTCTGGGTTTATAAGGTGGAAGGAACGTTACAATACACTGAATTTAATGAGTTCTCTTTGTATAGTCAGAATCATCGCAATTGTTGAGGTTGTGCTTCTCAACAAAAGAGAGAAAGGTAGCATCTAGTTGATTGCTGTATACACAAATTTCCTGGATGTTTTAATTCGTTATCTATTTTGATTGTTGTATCCTGATCCACTTCTAACAATTTCTTGTCTTTAACATTTTTGTGTTTTTAACATAATTAGGACACCACTGAACTATCAAGATTCTTTGTGCACGCGTAGTCATCAATCAGCAGAACTAAACATACCTACACCCACTAAATCAAGGAGTAAAAATTCCAGAGAACCATATTTTACGCGATCCGTTCGTGGTCAAACATTGCACAATTCGATAACAGATTTTTCTGATGTCTTATATGGATCACAGTCGTCTAACTGTCCCAGTACACTACAACCAAATGGATCGTCAGTGTCAACTTCTCAAAACCCAATTACAACAAATAATAATGTGCGCTCAGACCAACCGTCATCGTTATTATCAATAGGTGAATCACCACAATCAAATCATCAAACTGGCCTGTCATTCTCTTCCCTTCCACCAAGACTCCGCTTCCGTCACCTAAATGGAGCAACATTGTGTAGTGATCAAAATCAAACAAACGTAGGTCTAATTTTCTAAAATTCTACTTGTACTGTCATGGAAAACTGAGTAGCACTAAGTATCGACTTTTTTTCCTAGGTGTACTAAAGTAATCTATCTGATGTATGCTATTTATTCGAGTAAGTGAATTACAGCTAACCATTCTTTGAGTCAAATTTGAATGGTTGACAAACTATTACTTTTTCAAATTGAAAATAATCTTACGGGTGACCTTATGGTACGGTATATGAACATCTAACCATACTTTTGTTGCTTTCAGTTTTCTACCATATTTTAGGTTGTTTTAGTTCTTGATATATACCGTTTTCAAATTTAAGTCATTTAACTGTTCATATGAACTGAAAACGCATTGATGGTTGTGACGGATATGGGGATTATTAGTCTGACCATTATCCTATTAAAATACATTTAGTTTTGTGTACAGAAATTAGCATCGTCAATTTCTCTTATAAAGTTAGTTGCAATTCACAGAAAGACTTACAACTTTCTCTTTTGTTTATCACCAAAAGTAGGACAAAATATGTCACATAACTTACCTCGCAAGGTTGGACGGTATTTGTAATTAATAACGCGTCGATAATGCAACTTTAGATCACAATCCTTCCTATTATTTGCATTATTATTATTATTATTATTATTATTATTATTATTATTATTATTATTACCACTATTTATTGATATACTTGTTATTCTCTGTTGTTGTGGCTAGCAGAAGAGTCCTTGATTCTTCTGTTAGCCACAACCAAATTATTATTATCGTTGCATATTCACTTGAGTAATATGCTCCGAATTTATTGGTTTCAACCTATTTTTCACTGTGGATTTCTAGAAAACCAGGTGGCTTACAGTGATTGTTTCATCTTCATACATAGCCCCTGAAGAGTAAACACTTGATTATGGATACTTGTAACTTCCCCTTACTGTACGGAGTCGAATTACATAACTTCTGTTAGCAGATGGGCTCCTATTCGTGAGCCTTGATACTACCTGCGTATTCATTATGTTGTAGTCTACTTGATGACTAACATTGGAATTCAATACGAGGGTTTCGTCCTATTTAGGACTCGTCAGCTAGATGCACTTGCATCCCTGTGGGTGGTTCTTTTCCCATTGAGCCTCTAACCCGGTACCCGTCGCTTCAAACGCCAAAGTGTTATCCGCTAAGCCTTTGGCCTTGACGTTTGGAGCAATGGTATTGGGCTAGAGACTCAATAGGAACAACATCACTCACTGGGGTCCAAGTACACCCAGCTAATGAGCCCCAAATATGACGAAACTCGTTCTGGGTTTCACTGATAGTCACCATGTAGGCTAGAAGTAAATATTTGTATTACCATACTGGAGCGTAGAACTTTTATACCTCAATGCAAGCAAGCTTTTCACCTAATGTCAACTAGTGATGTAGACCGAATGTTAGTTCAGTAGTCATTGGTTTTGAATTCACAAAGTTCTCATTGGAAGTCATTATCACTAGGATAAATGTAGCTGGACGTGAGAATGGATGGTCATGGAATGAACTAAACGATATTATCGACTTGCAAGAAGCCTAAAACTGTGTGTCACAGTATCTCAACTCAGTGACTGAGACGTCCTCTTCACGATGCACGACTTCACGGTTTTGAGGCCAATCTCGGATCCAACAATGCCCTCTCACTGTCCAAGTGAGCCAATTCAAACGAAAATTTGTCCATAAATTCCGAGATTTCAGTGGTTATCTGAGTCATTTCCTATCTTAAAAGATGAATTCCTGACATGAATTATTACTGGTCAATCATTAATCAGTTTCAGAAGTTTAGATAAGATAAAATTTAGGTTTCGTGTTTGATAGTACTAATCGGGTAAAAGTGATCAAAAGCGTCGAGTGAAACCATCCATTGTGTGATATGTAAAGCTGCATTATCTACTAATGAGATCAAGAAGGTCGTTTTTTGGCCACTGTCTAGGAAAGTTACATTAAAACCTTATTTTGAAACAAGAGTTTTATAAAGATTGCAGATTTTTAAATACAATCTCTGGTCACACGCACTATGCTAGGAGTTCAGGTTTCCTGTAGTTACTCCATATTTTTGTACACGCAGTTACGTTTTACCGTGTAGCATAATGAATATCTTACTTTTCATTTTTGACTCCAGTATCCGTGTTCAAATTTATGGTTGATTTTATCATACATGCTATTAGTAGGTTAATACTATCTTCGTACCAAACGGTCAGATAGAAAGGTGACAACGAAATTTGAGCATAAATTTTGTATTCTGTTAGCCACTAAACTACCGTCGTTTTTTAGAAAGACAGGAAATGAAATGGATTTAAATAATTGGTGAAGAAACCAAAATGTATAAATAAATTCGATTATTAGAGAATGTTGGACATTGAACTGCACACCATACGGCACATCAGGTTTATTTTCCATACTTCCCAATATCACAAAAAAAGAATGAATGAATGATTATGCTGTTAAGCAATACCTTTTTGTGTTAGAAGTGTTTTTTCTTGTCTGCCTGTTTATATTCACAAATATCAGTTGAAATTATGAAGACGCAGGCAACTGTTTGAAATTGTGAGGGAATGCATGGCATATTTCCAGTATTAGTAGATTCATCCCTCGGCACACCAAAATGAAGTCTTATTTTTAGAGGTGATCATTGTTAGTTGGTTAGAAGTAATCGATAAAAAACACTAATTGATTTTTGTTTCGTACTTGTTAGCACTCGTCAGCAGGAAGTATCTCCAATGTCAGGGAAGTGATGGCAACTCGGAGATTTGAGCTCTAAATAAACAGTCCAGCAGTCAGCGATCTCATTGGTGAGCTATTCGGCTGAAGCATTTTGACATGTTTGTGAGTTATTATGCTTTGTGAAACCTAGAAATGCAATTTGGGTTGGCTTGTCGGGGCTAGGATTAGATCCTGGTGTTTCGCTCTAAATCCGCAAGAAATAACCCAATGGCTTATTCATTGCGATTAACTACAACACAGGGTGATGTAATTTTAAATCGCTGAAGAAACACCAGTTCTATGTAGCTTGCAAATATGCTTTACTAACATGGGTCAACAAGCACGAAATCTAAGTTAAGTAAGGTTTTCTGCCGTTTGCCTCAAAACAGCTAAGATTCTTCTCATTGAACTGCAGTATTGAGTTTCCTAGCTTAGTGACCACATTACAAAATGATCGACTGGACTTGGTAACTAGACAACACAAATTTGGCTACTCTACAGTTGCCAATCAATATGAAGTCATCATTATTCTTTTTGATTTCCGAAAACATTACACCATCATTGTAAAACTAAGTCCACGTCTTTTTGAGAATGAATTTCATTAGAAAAATTGACGTAGGTTGAAGAACTGTTATTTGACTTCTTTATAGTTATTTAGTTTGCTAAACCGACTTCCGATCCGACAACAGAACTCTAAAGCAACTTGGAAAAAATCAGCATATTGGAATCAGTCGACCGGATTAGTTGTGTACTATAATATTTTTCGTATGAACCTAGTACTCTAGTAACGGTATAATGTCAGTTAATTCTTTGAACCATGATTTGTGGATCACTCAAAATTGAGTTCTGAGAATTTCGACCAGGTTTATGGATGATGAAACTTTGATGAAACTTTACTGTTGGATATCACATCGATTATTTTACTGAATTCCCTGTACATTTCTTGTCATCATTGGTTTGTAGACCTCGTTAACATGAAAATCTCATCACAGTTTTATATTGTGATTTCAATTCTTGGTATTAGTGATGGATATTGGCCAGCAGTGGAATCGAGAACGCGCGTTTCGTCCTATTTAGTACTCGTCAGAGGGATATCGTGACTCACTGGTTTAGTTGATGACGCTCTGACATTTAAAGCGATTGGTCCTGTGTTTGTGTCTTTGTGGGGACAACACCACACATTGGGAGGCATGTATAACCAGCTGACGAATCCCAAATAGGACGAAACTCGTTTCCTGGATTCCACTGCCCACTAATATCCGTCATTTATACCAAGATTTGAAAATACCGGAAATATGGAAGCATTCGTACTGCAGCCCATATGCCAATAGTGGCCGATCAATTCGGTCCAATAAATAAAGGAGTCTTGCAAGCTATAGCATCACATTTATATTGTAATTCTTCTTAAGCTTCCAGTTGTGGCATATGTAAAAGACCAAAGGTTGTCAAGACGATTCGATTGTCAAGTGTTACTTGTAGTTAATGCCTATTTTTTCAGTTCATGATAGTTATCAAATAACATGTTATTAGGACTTAGAAACAAAGGATAAAATCTTCTGACTCTTTGGTACGTGTGACCTGTGTTTTCTCTGACCTACCCAGAAGATAATATTTCTTTATTACCCGCCGTGATCATGACTTATCCTGCTTTTACTGTATGGGAATAATATGAAATTACTTTCATATACACAATCTTTAGTAGTTATTAAGTCTCCACTTCATTTCCGCTGCATGCAAGCATGGTTTAAGTATGATCCAGCCTAAATGTAGAGCAATAAATATTGTTCATCATAACTGCGTGCATTGTTGGATAGTGAAGGCGAGAATGAATGGGAAGACAAAAGCTAATTGCAAAGACTAAAGCCTGAGGTAAAGAGGTTAACACTAAGAAAGAATGTCACCAATAAAGATAGTTCAGTAATTCATGCTATCAAAATCGACTTGAGAAAGATTTCAATTAATTTTGAGCGATTCATTTTCATATTGTAAGCACTGAAATTAAACTCCTATGAAATTTTGAATACTGTGTTTATGTGGATGCAAAGACAGGTAGTAGATATTTATATATGCTGCATCTGGGAGACATTAACGATCGAGATGCAATATTGTTAGTTTGTCTGATTGGGCTTTAATTTAATGTATGATTCAGTCAAACTGGTTCTATTCTGATATATAAACCTAATTTAGGTTATGCCACCTTACTTACATTACCTGTGGGGCTGACAGAATATTCAATATGTGTGAAAGGTAGGCTATGTTGCATAGAAGTGATCTTTGTTATTTGTTA